GCTAACTGCGGGTGATATTTGTGATAATAATATTGAGTGCACTAAAGGTGTTAGGGGTAGCGTTAAAAGTTAATGAGAATGGACGGATTTCTGCACTTAAGTGGTGCGTGATGAAAATTACGCTCATAAACGTAAATAGGTTCGAAAGAGGCCGGCCTCGCCAGAACGCGATGGAGATTTGCAAAAAGTAGTAAAATCGCGAGCGAACAATAGGACTTTCCCACGAAACGCCATAAGAAATAAAACGCCCATCAAGTCGTTTATCTCTTTTTTCCCGATCAACCTCCGGTACGCCATAAACGTTAGATCGGGACGTGAGCGCGAAGGCAACTTGACGAGGTCGAAGTTTACGTCCTGGTGGACTAGAAAATCGAAAATGTCTCTTAAGGTATGCGTGATCTGAATAAATGCACGTCACTTTATATTTGTCACACTTTCTCCACTGAAAGTATCAAACTTATAAAAAGGGAGAAATATCCGATAATAAAGTCAAGTCTCAGTTAAATCGCACACTAAACATCTTACATCTTCGCGGAATAAGTTTATACCGAATTTTCACTAATCTGTTATGTTTAGCAAAGAATTGAAATATTTTCTCATGAGCTAAAATTTGAAGAAAATTTCAGAATAAAATAATAATAGCCGTCACAACGAAAGTCTCGATCGACAGAGCAAGAAAAAGAGAGGATTTTTAACGGCAAGAGAAATCTGATCGTTTCCTCGGAATCGTAGACGTAAAACACGAGTTGAAGGACGACGACGTAATGATACAATAGTCTCTCTCTGATATCGAAGGACGGGGGAATATTAACGATCGGAGCTACATGCGATAACATTCTTTGAAATACCGATAAGCATTGAAAGAAAATCGGTGACTATAGCCAATACACGAAAGAACGACGACGGGAATTGCAAAATGGGAGCTTTAATATTTGTGAAAGTTTATCGACGTGCGCGGTCGAAGAACTTCGTCTGCAATAAAATTACGTGTCGATACCAAAGTTACATTAACGGCACTTAAATGCATCTAAATTTTCACGTCTCAATACTTAAATTGATTTTTACGATACTCATATTTTAATGCAAAGTCCGTTGACTTTAATCGTAATTACTAAAATCATTATACATTTTTGTCTACTTGGCAACGTCAAAAATAGCTTTCAATGGTGTTTGTCTAGTTAATAACGTAAATAAAAGCCTTTCTATTCGGCCGCTACTTATCTCACAATCAAAACGTAAAATCTGCTAAAACTCGATCTAACTATTCAAAATTAGTTCTATCAAAGCCCTTTCATTGGTACTTGTTTTAGGTAGTTAAAGCTGGATTTTAGTACACAGTTAATTCCAGATTTAACTAGTTAAAACAAGTATTGACGAAAGAGCTTTATTTGTTATTACATACTCAAACTGCTTTCAATTAGTTTTTACGATACTTTTGCTTTCTACAAAATGTACTGCACAAAACAGCCTTTTAAAATGATCGAAGATTAATCTCTAGGATAAATTATTACGAAACGGGGATACAATTATAAGCATTTCTTTTTATGGCAACGTAATAGTGATACAAAGAACGAATTATTGAAATTATGGAATTTTCTGCGACTGCTGAAGCGTGTTTATCCACATGATATTTGCGTAGTGAAATGGAGGCAGAATATTTCATGCGATACTTATCATGATAAATTTAAAGCGGCGTAACGTGTCAGGTTAAACGAGTTTGAAAGACGAATTATTATCGAGAATATTTTAATTTTAAGTATTTAAAAAAAAATTATTATTCTCTCGCATTTCTAACTGCTTCACTTTTCACTTGTTGAAAACATTGACGTAAAATTACGAATTATATCACGTATACATATAGTCTCTATGATATATAATATATCTTGATTATATCCTGCTAAGGTATAATGTTTCGGGATGGATATCGCTCAAGCAAATTCCGCATTCCGGCTATGATTTACAAGGTGCCGGTGTCTCCAAAGAGGCTGTTTAAGGATAAACGCGACAGCATGAACAGTATAGCGTGACATAGACGGCTCTAAGGGGATAAAGCCTAATGCCTTCTATGCACGATGTTATCTTTATCGTCGGATTTGCTAACATTGTGAGAATGGTTGCAGCTGCGGACTCGCGTTCAGTCCTTTTCTCTTTATTTCTCTCTGATTCCGTCGTTACGACTTTGAGGAGCGACTGCTATAGATATTCCGTATAGAAAGGACTCATTCGTTACGACGGAAATACACGGCGACGGTGGTTAGCCGCAGGAAAGAAATTCTATGTCCCTCTTGTAAGCGCGTGATTTCTTATGAATTAAACGAACGATTACTCTTACGTTTCTCTTAAAACAGAAGGTCTCGCTCAATGAAATCCTCATCAATCGTTACGCCACCCTAAAGCTTGCCATCGGAGTCATTGATACATTGGTTCAATTATTTATTTCTCAAGTTCCTAAATCAATTTACAGGCTTCACATATTTTACATTCGACACATACATTTAGTAATACGAGATTGTATATTCTATCATTTTCTAGTTCTTATTTTTTCATGAATATTTAGTTAGACAAGAAAGGACAAATATTCTTTAATAAATGGCCAAAACTCTCCGTGGTTCACCGTAATTACGGATGAAACATAAATTATCCCGCCGTCACTGAATGTGCCAAACATTTTCACAAATGTACGGTACTTTTTTTATATCTACATTAGGGTAGAATCGTGCCAGAAATTTTCTCTAGATTATCTCCATTCGAATTCATCTCGTAAAGTAACGCAAATATTTTACATTAATTTTCGGAGCGACTGGTGGTATCAAGATTCACGTTGTATTTAAATTGGAAAGTGGCTGAAGACACGATCTTTCCTTTCGTTGTAAGTGGGGCAGCTTTGATCGCGTTAATAGATTTTATCGCGGGCGAATGAGATAATACGGTCGATGTACCGACTGTATCAATCATTAACGAAAGTTATAACCATCGCGACAAATCCACCCGCCAACTTTCTGCCACCCTCGCTCGACAACAGCATTTGCGGGAATCCTGCCGACCCCAAAAAGGATGCTCCGGCGAACGACGACGTGTCCGGGAAATCCACTTTAACCGTACAAATCCAAGCGAATCGCGCGTGGCAAAAGGCGGTCTTTATCTACTTTGCCCTCGACTACCTAACGCGATTTCGTACGATGGAATTTCATTAGTCCAGCATATAATGCGAATGAGTAATTGTTCTAAATTACCTCTTATTTGAGACATTTTACGGTTGTCGAGTAACTCTCTAACGAGTAATTATAGTAAAAGCGTACGGTATAACAGTTACCCGCATGATTCGAAAATGCACCGACGGTTACTCAAGTGATTACTCGAATAAGTGGTAACGTTGAATTAATATTTTATTAACTTATCTCCCGCAGCGAATAATCGAAAGATTCAGCGCGACGGTAGTTTAAGCTATTTTCATAAAACTCTTACAAAAATTAACTTTGAAAAGAAAATTTATATCTAATAATTAATTTTGAACAGATTAATTAATTATAATGTATTATAATGTATTGTAATTAATTGTAATTTATTTGAACTGAATTTTGAATGAATATCGCCAAGAGCGAAGTTCGAAATAACGAGATAAAAGATCAGACGTGCAAAAAGCCCTTTTACGAAGATGACAATTGAAACGTAAATTGACTCTTTAACGAGACGGATTCCGGTCATCGTAACAATTTCGCAACGCATCACGTTTCGCTGGACAAGTGGATTTCGGCGACGAAATTGGAAGGGCGGAAATCGTGCTGTTTCACGCTCCCACGCGACGCACGTCAACGGGAGTGCGTGGGGTGAGACGTACAGGGTGCATAACCCACGCACGAATGGGTGAAAGTACCATTCATTCATATAAATCTCAGTGTCCGACACGGGCGTCCTCCTCCGCGTGCATTCGTCTCGACTGAAAGTCTATTTATACTTGTACAAAAGGTCTCTCTGCGTGGAAGATAAATCGAGGCGTCGTCGTGCGATACGCGGATTTTCTCCCCTGCATCGGATTATTTTTAGAGTCTCTCTAGTGAATAGGTGTTTACCTCGAAAACAATGTCGGCTTTAACAAATAAGTAGTCTTAACCGCTTACGTGGATTTAGTTTGGCTAAATTAGCGTGGATTTTAACAACACTGTTATAATATTTTAAATTATATGGGTGTGATAATGCATACATCAGACATTATAAAATAATATATCATGATTATTAAAATGTTTCTCTGCTGGGGGGTAGAAAAAGAAGCAAAATCATAATTTACAAGTTTTCAATTTTTTATTCTATATAATTCGTCATAATTAAACCTCAAATTATATTAAAGTATATTTTTCCTTCAATTAGCTATATTGAAAAACTAGTTTTAGTCTTCATCGGTCCCTTGAAGTTTAATTCGTGAAAAGTATTCCTTTCGCAATCGCTTATATTCCGATACAGTCTCGCCGATGAAAAGTCGACCTCAATTTGCTAACAGGAACCGTCATTAAAAAGAGATCCAGTGATTTCCGAGCACTCTATGTGCAATGTAATTCGCGTTACTTGAAATTGAACGTTACATCAATGCCAATTTATCGAATTATATAAACCAGTTATAATTATTATATCTTGTATATTGAATCCTTGTATAGTCTTGTACATGTATCGTTTGAAATGATATCATCATTCATCCACCCTTCGCAAATCGTGGCAAACTTTCGCGACGGAGGAAGTGAAAGACATCGCGGGGGTCGGACGATCCGTCTGACCCAGCAGCGGGCTACCTGCCTGCGACATCCGAGGTCGTGGCACCTACGTAAACGGTACCTGCCTTGCTCGCAAGGTGCGTGGAGGTGTCCGTGGGGAAGCGCGCGCTCTCCCCCGCACCTGTGGCCACGCTTGCGCGCCGCACTACGCAGCCGGGGGTGGTGGTGACGGGTGCCAGGAGAGAGGGTGCGAGGTAGCCTGCTACGGCCGGGTCGACGCCGACGATCGTCAGAGCGGCGTCGCGACGCGAGCCCTCCGCGTCCGTCGACTTTGTTGGTCCGCGTTACCCGTCCGCATCCGGTTCAGGTGTGATTCGCTCGGCGCGATACCGGGAGGACCGCGGCAGGAGGGCCTTGACTTGTTACCCTACCCAGCAGGATATACCACGACGCGTACGTTCGTCATCGCAGAAAAGTTTACACGGCACCGAACGCGCCACGACGGCGTAACAGGTACGCGTTATCAACCATCTTTCTCTCCCGCGGTACCCTCTCGGATCTCCCGAGGATTCAACGGGTGCGGTGGAGCCCGCGGCGACGAATTATCGCGGCTCGTATCTCGTACGGGCGATTCACAAAGTGAACGTTGCATTTTCCCGCGACCGAAAACTGCATTCCTCATTCGGGTATCCTGTTGCGTCGCACTACTGCGACGTCCTGCGCTTTATCGCGCAACATTGTTATTATAATCAGCCGGAATATCGATAGTGATCATATGTAATCGATCGGTTCAATTGACCGCGGTGGTAAAAGAACGTTTGTAAATTTGGCTCATTTAATCGTTCGACAAAGTTCTTCGATCCGCAATAAAGGTTGACCGTTTCATCTGTTTCTAAATAGCTGCACAGTCGTTAGCAAATCGTTGATGATTGACGTGCATAATAAGCATATTTAAGATTGTTGACGGTAATTTTTATTTTTTTCAATTATTGAGTACGGCTTGTGTTTCAATTGCTTGCGAAATTTTCAATTTCTTCTCTTGAATATCTTAGAAATTGTTATAAAAACATTAAAAAAGCGATTCTAATGTTTATTTTGGCATAAAAATATGATGATATTTCGAAAACAAAGGTTTTTCGTACATTAATTTTTACCCGTCGCCAAGTTAATCATTAATTATTTTGTGACGTAAGTAGCGCAATAAAATTGCCACAGTTTGAGAAGAAACACGTAATTCTCATAAAACTGTTCGTATACGGGACAATTGAACACGCCATATTTAACTTCGTACTACTGGAAAGTAAATAACTCATCGACTTCGTTAAATCAATTCCATCTTTGAATAAATCGGAAATAAGTTTTCTCACAAATATCACTTAAGTGCTGTTTCCAACAATATTTGTGGAAATTCAGACCCTCGTGATGAGCTTGCCATTTGAAGTAATCCAGACATAATACGCGGAGCTTTTCCAACGAGAATATAATAAATGTTATGAATAGTTTTACATTCACTAACCGTATCATAGCTCTGATATTTGTACAAGTGAGAATATTTGTCAGAATTAATAAAAAGAATATTTAAAATATTTGTCAGTTTGCGATTCGATCATCTATTCGTCGATAGAAAAATTATAGTCAGTAGGGAATGGAATTCACAACCATATAAAGTCGCGGAAAAAATATGATAGAGTTTTGCAATAAAATATTAATATTTCATATAGAATGGAATAATAATGTTGAAATATCGATGAACGGTGACAGCATTTTCTTTGAAAATCATACGCTTTCAAGGGAAATTGAATTGAATTTCTCGTCAGGAATATTTGGCAGGCTGCCGATATTGCCACATATACTGTCTATAGGTGCTGAGGTTAATCTGCATGACAGATTCCTAAAAAAATTTTTAATCGATTTTTCCTTGGAGAAAATTCCGATACTGCACTTGCAGGTTTTGAATATTTCAGCAACACAAAGCCTCAAATTTCTTTTCCATATTCCGAGAAAACTAAGAACTTGTGGTTCGTGAAAAGAATATTCATTTTTAATATACTTGAGCGTTCGACTTTAATAAAAAAAAAGCTTCCAAGTGATCAATAAATTTGTTGAAAATTAACCGGTTTTCTAGGTTACTCGGTACATGACAGTTGCTTACATGCAATCAACTGATATAATACGATAGTCACTTACACGGTGTGCTTTATGGTCGATATAACTAGAAAGAGTGAAATATTATATATTTTTCTTCCTCCGTTTTTCTTGTAATCTTCAAAGAAATATTGACTATGTTCGTGAGGAGCGCATAATCGCAGCTGCGGAGGCCTCTAATAAAACCCTGGGATGTGTCTCTCTGAAAAGCACGTTTCCACAAAATATCAGTCCTCGAATGAATGCTTCGCGGATTTTTTTATGAGATCTTTCTCCGAGGAACTTTGAAACACGAGCGCTGGCGCTCTTCTCTCTTGGCGATCATTCAACCGCGCCGCGACGAGCGTTGCATTCGATGCGAGAGAGCACTCGCGTAATAATAGATGCTCGAATAACGATAATTCTTATTAGAACATGAGCCGACATCGATCGTCCCGGGTAAAGAGCATTCAGATAGTACAATCTCATGATAGAGGAACACGATAGTTAGTGTGCTATAATAGATATGCCAGCGAATAATTATGTATAATTACATACTTCTGTATAACTATATTTCTATACGATTAATTTTTCTATTGAAATGACAAATGGATAAAAGTACGAGCGCTACCAACTATTATATCTAAATTGATACGTTACAAGTAAATAAGTTGTCGCGCAACCTTTGAATATTTTTACACATAAAGGGATAAAGTGCGGCTTTTATGTTTAAAAAGGAAATACATTCGCTCGGTTAATCAATTTTAATCTGGGGTTTCACAGCTAAAAGAATTTGTGTAAATAAATATTTGAACATGTGCGCAGTAATAAAAGGCTTATCTCTGCTATGTGATCGTCGCGAGACGATGTTACAATTTATACGCTTGTCGTGGCGATAAAAATTTTATTTAAAATCCGCCTGGCTTCATTTTTCATATCGGACATCGCTTTACATTACCGTTCGAAAGAAAATATTACGGGACTGCTTTACTATCGTATGAAAGATTATTCCGAGACAGATTATTTTCTAGTAAAGAACTATGTCACCTAGCAAGCACTTCACTCAAGGGAGATTATTGGCGATCAGGAACGGCAGTTATTCAGGCAAAACTTTGCTAGGAATAAAAAGCCTTATTTTGCACTGAAACATGCAGATTCATTCATCATCGTTATCCGTCACTCGGATAAAACTTGGCTCGTCTACGCTATTCGTATTCGTTGCGAACTTGAGTTAAAATTCGTAAGACGGGATTTTCCGACGAAGCCGCTGGCTGTTCCGCATGGAAAACACGCTACGGCTTTTCGTTTTCTCACAAATTAGGCCGCGACCATGTCGATGACGAAACATCGCGCGAAGAAGTTGCGCCACCGTTTCGGAAACGCGCTCGGCCATAAATCGATTACGCGGTAACAATATTAAAAAGCTATTCATGAAGTTTCGCCGCAACGCCACAGCCATGCCAATATTTTCGCTCTCACACAAAAGTCGTATACTCGTATGAATATTGATATTACGGCGCGAGCATAAGCGAGCGGGCGAACGGTAGCGGTTATTAACTCAAGAAAGCAAACTCTTTCGCTCTTCAATATTTATGGTAATCGTAATCGCGAGCTCCGGCCGACGAGTAAATCCTCCGGGTACGTCGAACCGGGGGGCACGAGAACATCGGCTAAACCCTTATAGGCTAAATGGACCGCAGCCCTGGAGGCGTCGTCGTTCCATAAATACGTTCCATTAATATGAGCCAAAGGGTGAGCCGGTGGTGCGAGTAATTTTCCCCATTTTGCGAAACAAAGGGAAAGCTTATGAAAGCATTTCGCATGAGATTTAAACTCTTAATCGTAGCAGCTTCCAAAAAAATTTATAAAATTTTCTGTCATCCTCTTAAAACTCTTATTATGCCGGAATTCTCACTAAACCTTTTATATCTCTTTACCGATTTATACTACACTGTGCGATGTACTTGATAAGATAATGCTAGATACTTTCACTTAAATGCAGTTAGTAAAACTTGTAATGATGCGCCCGGAAAATATTCCTTTCCAAATTACAAAGCTTTTACGTATCTAAAAGTTTCAGTAGAACAAGTCAATGCGCTGTCAGCCAACAATGTATTCCGTTAAGCCCACTCAATGCATTCGACCCATCTTTCTCGTACTATTCCTGAAACACAGGCTGTCTTCGATTCAATCACAAATTCATTGCTTTTCTCGCATTCTCGTGATTCGTACGTCTATCTGCACTTCTCTTCCGTTTCCCGCGTCGATTTTTGCTAGCTAGAAATGCCCAAATGTCTGAAAGCGACTCCACACCGCGCATTGTCGTCGAGCAAGTTGTTTGAGGTCCGCGAGCGTGTGACAGCTGCGTATCGAATTCCTGTTTCGAGTATTCAACAAGTACCCCGCGACACGGAGGTGAATCGAGCCGACGCATCGCTCGATGCATCTTGAAAATTCCGAGTGGGGCATTGGGTCAAGTCCTTAGCACGCGCGTGCCGAACATTCCGTAACTTAATTGGTCTCTCTCTTTCTCTTTCAACAGGAGCCGTCGATAGACATCTAAAGCGAGAAATAAATCTCATAAATTTGGTATTCGAGCGTACGATACAACCAGATGAAAAGTGCTGAGAGCGAATTGATTTGTTCTAAATTTAATTAATTATTTACGTGCCAAAAGCAAAAATAAATACACGGAAAATAATTTAGGTTTCACCCTTTTTGCCAAATTCGTTGTCCGAAAGATCCGAAATGTTTCTGTGAATTCCTGTAGTAGTCGCGAACTACGTACGCGCCTTCATCTTCAATGCATATTTGATGTTGTATCATAAGGATTGATAATATATGAGGTCATCGCTATATCGCGGTATTCATCGTTGGGGGGGACGGGGGGGGGACGTGATATCGAGCACGGAAAATAAATTCGTAATGAGATCTTAGTCCTAGAGAGGAGTCCAGTCCCGTTTAAACGAAATAAGTATATGAGCTGCGATGTCGCCTACATTTTAAAGGGCGCGTGCCTTAACGTCCGGAAGGAGTCGGTGCAGGACGAAATACGTGAGCGGAGTATTTCATGCGCTGACTGAACTGAGATTTCATACTTCCGTCGTCACGTCGGACACCGCGTGTATTGCACGGTAATCAAAAATTGTGAAGTTCACTTGATTGAGATATTTAAGATGAGTACACTTTTTCGTCCGCGATAGTACAAATTAAAGAAATATAAAAAAATATATAGGTATATATATTCTGTTACCTACTTAACATTTTATAATGACGTAGTTTCTATTAGCAATGCCTTTACTTCTCTCTCTCTCTAATAGGTTTATTTAAAAGATTGCATTTTTAACGTTCATAGTAAACATTTAAGTTCCTTTCTGTGAAAACAAACG